ATGCAGAAAAACAAGCAGTATCATTAAAGTATTAACATAGTTTTCAGGATTCAAAGTTAAAGCAGTTATTCCCAACAAGAGCTCTGTCAAAAAAAAAAAAAAAAAAAAAAAAAAAAAAGGAGAAAAAAAAAAAAAAAAAAAAGAAAAAAAGGAGAAAAAAGGGAATTACAATGATCACCCAGTAGGCCTTGCTGGTGCCAAAAAAAAAAAAAAAATAAATTAAGAAAATTCTGTGCTTTGCAAAAACAAGCAATTGTATCATGTCAACAAGTTATAACCAGCTCCCTGCTCCCAGGAGACAGTATTTCGTTACCATTATTTCCATTTAAAACTGTCAAACCATCTCCATAGGAAAAAGACCTCAAAAACTACTACGACATACTGCATCTTCATGCTCAGAAGAATTCTGTTGCAACACCCAATTTTTGCACAATACAACTGTGGTGGGTTAACCTTGGCTGGACGCCAGCTGTCCACCAGGCCCCTCTATCACTCCCCTCTTCAGCAAAATAAGGGGAAGAAAATAAGATGAAAAACTTACGCATCGAGATAAAAGCAGTTTAATTAAAGCAAAAGCCAAGGCCGTATGTGGAAGCAAAGCAAAACAAAAACAAAGATTTTATTCTCTACTTCCCATCAGCAAGTGATGTCCAGCCACTTCCCAGGAAGCAGGGCTTTGCTTTGTGTAGTGGTTGCTCCTGGAAACAAACGTAGCAACAATGAATGCCCCCCTCCTCCTCCCCCCTTCCCTTAGCTTTTATTGCTGAGCTGAAGTCATACGGTATGGAATATCCCCTTGGTCAGTTTGGGTCAGCTGTCCTAGCTCTGTCCCCTCCCAAGATCCTTCCCACCCCTGGGGCCCTGAGCCTACTGGGGGGGTGGGTGTTGGGGAGATAGCCTTGATGCTGTGTGAGCACCGCTCAGCAGTAGCCAAAACACTGGTGTTATCAACACCTTTCTAGCTACCAGCACAACAACACACAGCATTACGTATTTTTAACCAAAATCCTAAGACATATACAGGCACAAGAACTAAAGAAACTTACACTTTGATTTGAAGGGAGGTTCTTTTCACACAAAATTGATTGTTTTCATTATGGCTTCTTAAGAAAAATATTTTACCTTTGTGTCTAATAGCCAAAACAGATAATTTAACCTTTCAAAAGCCAAAAAAAAAAAAAAAAGGCATTTTAACTTCAGAATGAAAATATTTTATGGAAATATTAAAATTAATTTGGTTTACATCAGGTAGTTGGTTAAGTTAGATGCTTCCAGTGTACTACTGCATGTTCTATGATTCTATAGACAACATGAATGCTTAGCAGAAACAAGCTTATTTTTCACATTTGCTTCCTCACTCTTGTGGAATGCTTGGTTTTACCTAACATGGGGGAAAAAAGATTTTCTTCCTCGCAAGTATCAGTTTTTACTTAAAAATGACTAGAATATTCTCTTAGAGCAAAAAGAAAAATAATTTTTATTATTCTAGAAAAACATTATACTTTGTAGGGCTTTTTCAGGAACTAGGCTCATTTTAACCAAACAATTTTGTATTTTAAGCAGGAATCACAGAGTCTGCACAGACTTCATTTACAAAAACAATTAATTCATCATGACAAACATTTGCACATGATCCAAAGGTTTGGCTTGTTTTACTTCCTATTTTGTATTAAACTCTTACACCTGTAGTCTTTTGATTATGGCCTAACATATGCCTTTTCAGACATTAGAAAGACCTTTCACCTGCTATTTCCTCAGATGACAAGCCAGGAAAGATCTGCATATAAGACCTCTACATTCAAATTAAAATAAAAAAAAAAGAGAACATGAACACTCTTCTTTTAGACAGCTGTTTAGAAATAGGAGAAAGTCAGAGCTGAGGCCAGCAACAGATAACCAAGGAAGGAAAAAGCTTCTGGCTTAGCTTTTGACACAGGTGGTTAAGTCTGGAATAAAAAGTTTCTAGCAAGAGAATTGCCAAAACTTGCCACAGGAGTTAAAGTAATTCCTTTTATAAAACACTGTGCTTAAAAGATTAAATGAAGGCCAACACATTGTGCCGTTACAGAGAGAAACAAAGTACAGGCTGGTTAAAATACCTGCAACATTTGCTGCAGGGAGAGCTACTGAAGAACAAAAGGCCTTAAGAAAGAACAAGTTTAATACAACTAAGTCCATCATTCTGTTTCTTTTTCCCCTGCAAGCAATACAAATGTCCTTATTTCCACTTTCTCTTAAATCTACATACATCCCTATAGGTAAGCTTTAAAGGCTGCATCACTATTTTATAACCTGGGGTAGTTGGTAACCATGGGTCGACCACTCACCACAGTGCTGGCTTATAGTAGAGGTGTGGAACATGATAGCAGTTCTTGGATTAGTACGAATTATGCCTAGAAATGTATGTTCCTTGTCATGTCTCCCCACATCCTACTGATGCTTACTGCAGAGAAAACAAAAGTTTTAATACAGGAAAATAAGCCAGAAAGGAGATACACATCTGCCACTATTCACCAATATCCTATTGTTTTGGCTTCCTCATACTTCAAGTTTTGGAACTACATAACTGAAAACCTCAGCACTCATGGCAACTGCCACCAATACTTTGTTCCACTGCAGTCCACAAATCACACTGCAAAGTATGTCACACAACTCAGCATGTCCTTCAAACATTAATGTTACTGTCTTCTTAGACACTTGTCCCACTTGGCTGACAACATCAAGCTGTGTGGTGCGGTCAACTCCCTGGAGGGAAAGGATGCCATGCAGAGGGACCTTGACACGCTGGAGAGGTGGGCCAATGCAAGCCTCATGAAGTTCAGCAAAGCCAAGTGCAAGGTCCTGCACATGGGTCAGGGCAATCCCGAGCACAAAAACAGGCTGGGTGGAAAAAAGCTATAGCTTGAGAGCAGTGCCGAGGAAAAGGACTTGGGCACGAGGAAAAGGACATGAGGCAGCAATGTGCACTTGCAGCCCAGAAAGCCAACCGTGTTCTGGGCTGCAAAAGAAGCGTGACGAGCAGGTCAAGGGAGGAGATTCTCCCCCTCTACTCCACTCTCCTGAGACCCCACCTGGAGTACTGCAGCCAGCTCTGGAGTCCTCAGCACAGGAAGGACAGAGCAAATCCAGAGGAGGGCAAGTCCAGAGGAGGGCCACAAAGATGGTCAGAGACCTGGAGCACCTCCCCTATGAGGACAGGCTGAGAAAGCTGGGGGTTGTTCAGCCTGGAGAAGAGAAGGCTCCGGGGGGACCTTATAAAGGCCTTCCAGTACCTGAAGGGGGCCTAAAGGAGAGATGGGGAAGCACTCTTTATCAGGGAGTGTAGTGACAGAATGAGGGGTAACAGCTTTAATGTGAAAGAGGGCAGATTTAGACTAGATATTAGGAGGAAGTTTTTCACTGTGAGGGTGGTGAGACACTGGAACAGGTTGCCCAGAGAAGCTGTGGATGCCCCATCCCTGGCGGAGATGAGGGCGGCTGAGGCTTTGAGCAACCTGGTCTAGTGGAAGGTGCCCCTGCCCATGGCAGGGGGGTTGGAGCTAGATGATCTTTAAGGTCCCTTCTGACCCTAACCATTCTATGATTGTATTGCTAATAAAATAATATATTAATCTTTGTAAATAAATGAGATACTATGATGGTAGCCATAATCATAACTGAGTAGCCAGAGAGGTACTGTAAGACTATTAGTTTTTAATCAATCACTTTTCCAAGAGCTTAATTCAACTTAATTTCAAAGTTACTGGAAAAATCCATAACTGTTTTAAGAGGGTTTGATTAGACTCCTCATATGCTATTCCCATACATCAACATCTTAGGAATTCTGTGTCTGTCCCATGGCCACAAAAGTTTTTGTGCAGCCACTAGTACAGGTACAGACATCTAAATATTAACTTTCTAACCTGTAATGATTAACCCCATGTCCCTTAAAGTTTATGCATATACTCGAGTATTATTAATAGAAATACATTTTAGAGACCAGTCTTTTCTCCTTTAAAATATTTAATGTAGCAATAACCCATTGCAACCAGTGCAAATACCAGAAACATTACTAATTTTTAAATTTCTGAAATAACTTACAGCAATTATCCTAATAGCCAAGTATTCAAATGTATTTTTCAATTAAGTGTGCAAAGTTTCTATTACCTTTTTCAGACTTAAGGGTCCAAGAACCAAAAAAATTTTAACGTCATTTGCATTAGAAATTAACCTCAGCCCCTATATATGTGTGTATATATATATATATAAATACACCTTAGAAAGAGAGAGAGAGCATGCATGCATGCTGGAGACAGTGCAGGAGACCTAATTAGTAGAATGGAATTAATCACAAATTGAAGGGACCAGCTGCCCAACTCTTACAGATGTAACTTCTTAGAAACTTAGAACTTCAAATGTTGAAGTTCATGTATTTATTGAGGACACAGGCTTTAAAATGGTGTGAGCATTTATAGGAAAAAAAAAAAAACAGACAGCAGCAATGTAATAGCACTTCTGACATTAGGAAAAGATTTTATTGTGGAATAAACTGGTAAGAAATACTGTTCCATTATGCAATTTGTTTCCAGTGAAATTACATTCTACCACTGCTGGAATCACCAAACATCTTAAAATTAATGTAAATAAGAGAGATCAATTACACTCAGTGGCACTAACTTTGACAAAAACAAATAGTTCAGTTATGTTATGCAAAATAGATAAGCATGACTTTAATATCTCTTTGGAAAAATTTATCATAACACAAGCTTTAGACATGACAGTTACCAGCAACATTCTGCTAAGAAAAAAAGGCTGCACATTCTTCCAACCTATAGTTTGAAAACTTAAGCTACTATCGGAAACCTAAAAAGTTTAGAAAGTCTTGCACCCTCTCTCTAAACTAAAATACGTAATAGAACAGTATTTTACATATAATATTTTATACATCATTGTTTTCACATTGTAATTAAAGAGACAAAATTTACATTTTTATTTTGGTGGCAGAGACTTAATTTCAGACCCTACTTTGAAGTGCCTGTAGCATTGTGAACAGAAGATGCAGAATCACAACCAGATAGAAAAGAAACAGAGTCAGCAGCTGCTTCAGGAAGCGCAGGTGTAAGCACGTGACGACAAACTGGACATGTTCCCGACTACAAAAAGAGGAAAAAAAAAACCCAAACAAACAGATCATTTGCAGAGTTGGCATTCAATTCTATTGAAAAGCTAAAGATTATTATCTATGAAGTATTTACGGTCTTCACAACAGCATTCTCTCAAAGTCAAATTTGACTGGATTTGACTGCGTACTAGCAAGTCCAGGCTCATACTGTGCATAAAGCAGAATGCAAGTGCAAAGAAAAACACCCAATTCATTAATTACAATTTTTTTAGTCTAGTCTCAATATGATTAAGCCTTATTAAGACATTTGAAAGGAAATCAATTATCGATTATGAAAACAAAATCCAACACAGCATAGATTTGCCAAAGGTAAATATTTAAAATTAACCTTTAAGCACTCCAGTTATTCCTCCTGCCAACCTTAGCTGTCACCACAAAAGAGCCTGACACTCTGGCAAGACAGATCAGATCCTTTGCTTTTCTCAGAGAAAACCAAGCCACCTTCTTTACTTCAGTGTATGAATACAGTAAAAAAAGCTTTTCATGTACTAAACCAAGTTATAACTCATCCATCTCTTTCAGTCTTTTTAAAAGCAGACCATGCTTTTCCTCACAAAAATACCCCCTCTATTCAAGAAATTGCCTTTCTGGTTATAGAGTCATAGAACGGTTAGGGCTGGAATGGACCTTAGAGATCACCTAGTTCCAACCCCCCTGCCATAGGCAGGGGGACCTTCCACTAGACCAGGTTGCTCAAAGCCTCGTCCAGCCTGGCCTTGAACATCTCCAGCAACGGGGCATCCACAGCTTCCCTGGGCAACCTGTTCCAGTGCCTCACCACCCTCACAGTAAAGAATTTCTTCCTAATATCTAGTCTAAGTCTGCCCTCTTCCAGTTTAAAACCATTACCCCTCATCCTGTCACTACATGCCGTTGTAAAAAGTCCCTCCCCACCTCTCCTGCAGGCCCCTTTCAGGTACTGGAAGGCCTTTATAAGGTCCCCCCCGGAGCCTTCTCTTCTCCAAGCTGAACAACCCCAACTCTCTCAGCCTGTCCTCACAGGGGAGGTGCTCCTGCCCTCTGATCGTCAGTACAGGTTAGCACACATATAAATTACTTTCCTCACTTGCACTAGAATTTGGTTCCATAATGCATAAAATTAACAGCCAGTTATTTCATGGTATTTCATCCCACATTTTCAAGAAGCTACAAACTGTTATTCCCAGAAGAATGCAAATACTCAAACCCACAAAAACCCCACCAATCCTGTAGTACTTACATTCTGTAACCAAAGAATTATACAGGATTTATGAAACAAATGATGACAGGGTAGCTCTGTTATGATTTCATCTTTCATATATTCACTGCAACAGATAGTACAACTCTCTTGACCTGTAGCCACCATGAAAAAAAAATTATTATTATATTATACATTTTTACATCTAAAATGAGCTGAAATCAAAATACATGTATTATCAACCATATCACTGATGATTACAAGGTACAATTACACTTTCTCGAATAAAGATTAACTTTCTAAACTGACCAAGGTTATATTCAGGCTGATTCAAGATTCAAAAGCTCTTACAACAGCATTGCCAGTGGCATAGCAAGAATGTTTAAATACTGCATCTATGGTACTACTGAAAGGTAAGTTTGTTCTAATAAACTTTGTGGAAATTAATTTGCAATTATTTTTCCATACCATCACGGTCATCTGTGAGGACAGTCTGTGGCAGACAATCTATGGTTTCTCTAGTAGCTGGTGGATGAGCCTGTTCAACACCAAATCCAAGAGACTCCAAATGTGCCAGAGCAGCCTGAAAAGGGTGAACAGAAACCAAGTTCTCTTCCTCACAAATGTAACATTACATAAAAACAAATAAGAAACAGAATCCAGATCTAATAGTATTACTTCCTTAAATGGAAGTCATGCCTGTCAGACTAACCATTACATCCTTTTTTTTGGTAATAAATGAGATGAAACTGAAGGTCAAAATAGTAACAACTTGTTTTTCAAGCCCTTTTAAAGCATCAATGCTCTGAATTTATCTTGTGTGAAATGTAAATTTTTCACCATACAAAATCTTTAAGATACCGATGCTACAACAGCCAGATTTGATGTTTACGTCATACATTTACATTCAACCCCATAAAACACTGAAAAGATCTGCAGTAGAAAAAAAACCAAAACACAGAACTCAGATTGATTATATTTGCTCTGAAATGTACTAGAAATACCTGTTTGAAGAGCTGAACGAACTGAAACTGAAAAGCCAAGAACACAGAAGCACTGAGTTCATATCCCGAATGAACTAGTCACACCCCTCAAATACAACTACTTACTCCTCTAATCAGCATGAAAATTTATTCTAATGGCCACAAAACTCCCTTGGTAAGAAGTTTAAGATAACCTTAAATTTTTGTACTGTTCGGGGTATGCTTAACTATAAAAACAAAAGTATACTAGAGTAACATTGGATTATACAAACATCTACAGTAGTCCTTCATCTTAAACTTTAGAGGAAGTTACTAGTGCTGCAGCCTGAAAACATGCCTACACTGTTATCCCAGTGGCAAGGTAGCTCAGGCAGTCATCCCACCATAGATCTGAAGTCATAGGTTCACACCTACAGTCAAATACCCACAGCAGCAGAGAGATCAGCATGAATTAACACACAAGTATTTACAGCTCCTAATGCCACACATTCTCATCTATAAACCTGATAATTTAAAGGAAATCCTAGTACAGTTATCCCTAGTGCAATATGCAAGTCTACCTGCAAGTCTACCCTCCTCCAATTTAACAGCTTAAAAAAATTAAATTCTGCTACAGCATACAATACTGTCTCACTAACACTAAGGTGATTTTAGTATTAGTACTCTCAAGCAGAAAACAATTTACCAAAGCATTGTATTGTTTGCTTATGAAAGCTACACAAAAGAAACATCAGACAGAAAGCCTCACAATGATGCTTAATACCACATTTTCAAAACGAAAGCAGAGCAAAGATACCTTTATAACTTCAAAGATACCTTTATTTATTTCCTCTTATTTTGCAACTGCTTACTGCTCCATGTACCATAAACTAAATGCTGGACACTGCTAAAAACAGGAGTGCTACACTGAACTCCTCACATGTGTGGACTGGCACAGGAAATACTCATAAATTAAGTCAATGATGCTGCAGAGGCACCCAACCTGTTCTATACTGCTAATGAAGTAAACCAAGCACTCCCTGCTAAGTAATTTCTTTAAAATAAGTGGAAGTAAAAAATTAATTTAAAAAAAACCCCACACATACAGGTTACTACATTTTAGGATCCCCAAGTCTTAGAGAACATAGCTTTTTTTCCCTAAAAAAAAAAAAAAAAAAAGCATATTGACTACTCCTCCCTTCCAAATGTCAAGATTAATTAGGACAGATGTCTCCCTTGATTAAGATGCACTTGAATTTTGGTGCCTTATCATGTCACATCCCTTTCAAGCATTTCATAGCTACAGTAAATTAGTTTGCTAGACAGAGAAATTTCCAGAAAATTTTGAGCTATAGTAGATTATGTTAATATTAATTTTGTTGCAGGTGAAGAAGATCCTGGTTAATGAATCTACTATTTTAGATAAGAAAATATCTTCAACTCTCATTTCCCTCAAAGACCTCTCAAGCCTGAGCACCTTGGCCTTAGTTACTAAGATACCCCTCGCAGTGTTCTCTTACTCGCTACTTGATGCATAATAAAGTTGCAACAAACTACAGAACAAAAACTGTCATATTACAAACATTTTCTATATATTCTATAAACTGAAAAAAATCAGAAATTGCATTTTCTAGCAGAAAGCAAAGGCATTTTCAGCAATCTCTTTCCCAAAGCTGAAAAGGTAGCTCAGTTTGGTCTTTGCATCACAAAAAACCCCTGTTTTTTAAAAAAATATTTTTTCCCTGGAAACACTGTATGCCACATTTTCAATATCTGAGCAAGCACTGTGACCACAGTTTCAAAGATAAGGAAAAGGCTTTGTAACACTGAGATATTTGCAATTTCATTGAAAGATTTGACATTTTTAAATTTGTGGAACACAATTCTACATCTTCATCTACAATCATCTGACAAACTGGAAAGTTGCGCTTAAAGGCTGTTCTGAATACCGTATCAGGAATGTCCTTCTATGTTAATCCAGTCAGGCACAAGGACACATCATATTTAAGAGATTACATTGGACTATATCCTGATCCTGTCTACATTGTGCTGCGGTCATTAAAAGATAGGATCTCAACAAACAACCAAGACTCAGAAGGCTGGAGCACCTCTCCTGTGAGGAAAGGCTGAGGGAGTTGGGGTTGTTCAGACTGGAGAAGAGAAGGCTCCAGGGAGCTGCTCCTTATAGCAGCCTTCCAGTACTTAACAGGGGCCTGCAGGAGAGGTGGGGAGGCATTCTTGGTTAGCGAGTGTAGAGATACAATGAGGCATAATGGTTTTAAGCCGAAAGAGTGTTTAGATTAGATATTAGGAAGACATTTTTTACTGTGAGGGTGGTGAGACACTGGAACAGGTTGCTCAGAGAAGCGCATAGATGCTCCATCCCTGGAGGTGTTCAAAGCCAGACTGGATGAGGCTTTGAGCAACCTGGTCTAGTGGGAGGTGTCCCTGCCCATGGCAGGGGGGTTGGAAGTAGATGATCTCTAAGGTCCCTTCCAACCCTAACCGTCTATGATTAATTCTGGACAGATAGATATTACAGAGCCTTTTCTGCTCACTTTCTGTCACCTTCCAGAAATACTTGCAATATTACCTGAGAGAAATGTTGAACAGTTTTGGGTAATGCTTGCTTTTATTTTCTGAACAATTTTAGCAACCATTTTCACACTGGAAAGAGAGGTGCTCTACATCTTCTGCTTGAGATTGGGAGGAAGTATTCAGCATTCTTACTCAAAACCTGTGTCATGCATTTATTCACAGTCAATACAGCTGTCTTTTATTGCTCAGTTACCATTTGCTGCTGACTAATGCCAATTATGCCAGATTTCTACACCCACTGTAAAGTTTCAGACATCCTAAGTGCTAATTTCAAGCACAAATACTATTTCACAGAATTGGCTTTCCCTCTTGTCCAACATCCACAGTGACCTGTACCATAGGTACCAGGGAATAGCTACGTAGTTATCTACCTGCTTGCCAAGTGTGTTCAATGACACTCCGTTTCCTGGTGACACTAACATAATTACAGGATCTTCTCAGACAGCCATGCACATAGCCACATAGGATAGCTTTTAGAAGTCAGCCTGACAAGAGTGCACACATTTCTTCTGACAGAGTAACTAGGGAAATGTTGTTTCACAGTAATGAGAAAGAAAAACTCAGAGCTGTAATAACCTCAGTCTCCTCTTCAACTGTTGAGATTAGTTTGCCCTCTCTACACAGATCCTCTTGCTTTGGTGCAAAGGAGGAGGTTAGCTGATTCTGTTGTTCTGTCTTTTTTGCTGCAGCAAGAACCAGCAGCTATCAAAGAGACAAATGAATTTTCTCTATACAACTTCAAAATACTGCTTTTATAGTAAGGATATCAACAGATCTCCTACACATTAATATACAGTTCTGAAGTGTCTCCAGATGAGTAATGCTAACAAGATCCTACAGAGCTGGTGAAGACCCTATGGTACATGATCATGAATAATACTGACCTCCCACATACTTCGGGGGATGCATAGTACCTGGAAATTGAATGACTGACAGATTTGGGGAACAACTCTTACACTCCCTTTGAAAAATGCCCATCACGTTTATTCACAAAAATCACTGATTTTGCACATATCTGAGGAAAAAAAAAAAAATCTATCATTGTTCCACTATCAGCTTTAGAAAGCTTTTTAAAAGCATCCTTGTTATTTTGTCTGCAGGCAAGCTATGACATACAGCCTGTTCTGCTCACCCCTTTTAACCAAGAGCTAGTAGTCAAACTGCCCCTCGCTGCCCCTAAACTTATGTCAAACACAAAACATTCAGTTTAATTGTTTTAGCACCTTATTATATGTCTACACATCATTTAACTCTTATTTTCACCAATACCCTGGAGGAGAGATTTCTGGCAGTGCAAGAATTCTTGCATCACATCAAACTATGTTCACTCTGACAGTGACCAAACATCATGTAACACAGAAGACAAAGACCATAATTGTGCTGGTTCTTGACAACAAATGCTTTGGTTTATCCAAAGTCAAACAGATGAAATGAGATTAGAACAAGGTAAAGATAGAAGACTTTTTTGCTTTTGGGTGGGTTGCGGTCGTTTTTTGGTTTTGTTTTTGTCTGTTTGTTTTTTTAATTTAAAACACCTGGAGTCAAGACAGTTAACACAGAAAAGTCTTCTACTGAGGAATAAAAATGAGACATCCAATTGTATTCTCACAAAAACTTGGGGCATAGACACAAATCCAGGTACGAACATTCCTTCGTTACACAGGGATCTGGCAACACTCTTTAGAAGAATTTAAATGGCATATGTTTATACTGGTTGAAATCTGTATCTTTTTTTTCCCCTTTAAGAGGAAATAAATACATATTGTAAAAGGAGTAGCATTGATCAATGACTGCTTGAAGAATGAACTTCCAACATTTATTTTGAAGCTTGTAGACCTCAAAGTTCAAGCTAAAACGAGAAACTAATTTCTCCCTGATTCTCCAGATTTTCAGATTATGCTGAAAAATGATTCAGTAATAAAAATTTGTGTCATAACACCACTGATATAATACCACAAAGAATACTTTAATACCTCCACAGCTTGTTGTAAATGTGCCTCTAGTGCCATGAATGTGAGAAACTGAGGATCCATATAAGGAATGCCTTGAGCAAGTTCTAGGCCATCGCCAAATTCATCAAGTACTCTGGAAAACATGAGTTAGGAATCATCATTTCAAACTAAATAGTAACAACATGAGTGCTGGGTACATCAAATTACTGCATATCACCTGTTAACAACTGTGTGCACATACTCTCATGAGGTGGTTGTGTTGGGCTGACCTTGACAGGCTGACAAACACCCACCCAGCTGCTCTGTCACTCCCCCACCTCAACTGGAAAGGTGTGTAAGTTAAGACTAAAAGCTCCTGGGTCCAGATAAAGACATGGAGATCACTCAATCACCATCACAGGCAAAAGAGACTTAACAGGGAAGCTTAATTTAACTGAAAAGTTGAACCAGATGATCTTTTGAGGTCCCTTTCAACCTAGGCTGTTCCATGACTCTATGCATTTATTGCCAATAAAAATAGATTCAGATTGTAAGAAACAAAGATGAAAACTAAAATACCTTCCCCTTAGCCCTCTCTTTCTTTCCAGGCTCAACTTCATTCCTTCATTTCTGACTCCTGTATGTCTTTCTGCCCTGCTTGGAGTAGGGGGACAAGGAATGGGGGTTATGGTCAGTCCGTGGCAG